CTCCCCCTCCCCTCCCCAACTCTCCTCGCCCCTCCCCTTCACTCTCTCCATCTTCACTCTCTCTCCGCTCCTCCTCGTTCCTCTCCTCATCCCCTCTCTCCCTCTTCTCAATTCCTCGCTCGAAACCCTCCTCCTCCTCCTCCTCTTCCAATTTTGCCCTTTCTGCTGTTGTGACCGCTGCGATGCCTGAATCTGAGAGGAAGAGGGTTCTAATCGTAAATACCAACACGCGCCACGCTTTCATCGGATTCTACTTTCGCCACGAGCCTCCTCCTGTGCTCACCAGGCCACCGTTCTCACCGTCGGTGATGAGAGTTCCGGCAAGATGAAGAAGCCCCCTTTCACTAGATTCTCTGTGCGCTTCCTGTATTTTCTTCTTTCGGCTTATTTGCACTTTAATGCCCAACGTTTCACTTTTTTTTTAGTTTGTTTGGTACCTCAAAGATCCCAAATTGACATTAATATGGCAAATTTTGTGCCCCCAGAGGGCTAAATTTGTTCTTTGCCTTCCCGGCCCAAGCTTTAGGAATCTGAAATTTGGTAACACAATTGTTTCTCATTCACTTTTTCTATGTTGATATTTTTGAACAACTTTTTTTGCACTTTGGTGCTTCAAATTGTCAAAATTGAGCTTCAGGGTTTCAAAGTTTGAAAAAAGGTTGAAATTTGGGTAATAAAGTGCAAATATTTTTCCTCGTTTCCTGGTTGCTGTTTGTGCACTATAATATGGTGTTCATTAATTGGTTTATGCTTGTGTAGGAGCTGGTGAGTGCTGGTGGGGAGACGGTGTGGGGGGATCCGGCGGAGGTGGGGAAAGTCGTGGGAGGGGCGGAGTTTGATGTGGTATTAGATAACAACGGCAAGGATCTTGATACAGTCAAGTATGTAACTTTGTTGCTAACTGCACGAATCCAATCTTTTTTTTCCTAAGATTTGTTCTTTGCACTTTGAGTTAGGACGCAATGGTCCAATTGAATTCCACATTGTAAATGAAGTAGGACAAAGGAGGAGCGTTGCAGTCAATGTAAAACCTACTGAGGAGCTACATGAAATGAATCCTTAGGAATATTCATTGCGACATTCCCACTACTAAGGGTTTCATTGATGCCGCTCTTCGGTACAATGATACTTAACTGAGGAGATAACCCTTTATAGAATTGAATGGAAGAATATGATTCATGCCAGCGGGACAACCACTTTATGGGCTAGTTAAGGTTACGTGTGAATTTGTAGGTATTGCAAATATTTTTTGGAGACTCGTATTCTGCTCAACTAGGAATGATGAGGCATATAATTCAATCTTTAATCTGCTTAATACACAGACACATACTTCTTTTCAATTATAGACAGTCTCAGATATTTTAAAGGAAGCGAAGTCCAGCAATAGTTATTTCTTCTGAATTTCTTGATGCAGAAACTTATTGGATTGTTTACCATTACTAATTAGAGTTTAGAAGCTTGTAAATCTCATCTCTTGTAATATTCTGATATCCGAGAATTTCTGGATATTCATGTGACCAATACAAGTGATGTGCAATAGTTTCCCGTGAAATGGGATTCATGGAAACATTGAAAAGGGAGTCAAACAATGTAGAATCTATTGCTGGCTGACTTCTTGGTTCACTGACAATAGTTTCCTTGACTATAAAAGAATAAACATGTCAATAGTTACTTTGTATAATTAGATGCTGAATTCTGATCATTTATTTCATATTTAATACATCAATCCTCAGCAGTACCCACCTATGCTTTCCTAAATGATATAATTGTCTTGGCTACAGGCCTGTAGCAGACTGGGCAAAAACTGCAGGAGTCAAACAATTTCTGTATATTAGCAGTGCTGGGATATATAAGCCAACTGATGAGGTTCCTCATGTTGAAGGGGTATGCGTGCTGTTAATTGCTTAATTTTCTAGTGTATCCCTATATTACAGACTTCTAGTAAACATATGCTGAGTTTTCTTGGTACATGTTGATATCATATCATATAAATTCACAGATAAGCACATGGATGCTGATTAAGTGATGGATAAATAGATAATAGAGAAACGAGATGCTACTTTATGCAGAGTTCTAGATTGGAAATACATGCCACTGGACTTGATCTTGATCTACGACTTTTAATGATTATAGAGGGTGGGGCTGTCTGTGTGTGCGTGTGTGGTTCTTTTTCTTTTTTCCTTTTTTTTGGGGGGGGTGGGGGTGGGGGTTGGGGGTGGGGGGNTTGCAATTGGCCTAGATTGTCCATACTCCAGAGTTGAAGTGACCACAATTTTCATATTATGGGCACTTTGTTGCTGAATTATGTTGGAAGACGTATACTTGGAGTTCTTGACATGCTGCTAAATCAAGGCCAATAACTTGCAGGTTAGAAGCAACAATTTGCACTTTGAATTGGACTTCTTTTTGTGCATCCCATGAAATGCATGCACTGACCCCACTCAAACACAGGCACATACTGGTGGATGTAAATAACAAACATATGACAACTAATTTTGTTAATGATATTGGAAAAAACTTGGCAAAAAAATCTTTTTAAGTTATATTTTATGAGTTGGAGATATGTTTGACATGAACTTTAACATATTTCTGTCTTCAAAGTAAAATATATCTGTAACAGGGATCTCATCATTTATAGCAAGTAGTAAAACTTTTCCCCCAAAGTGTTTCAATATGTTAACTATATCATGAACTTTATGTAGATGGAACTTGGTATCAGTTTGTAATCTTACCAAAATGTGAACCACACCTCTCTGCAGGACCCCGTTAAAGGTGATGCTAGTCATGTATCTGTGGAGAAGTACATTACCGATCTATCCTTCAGTAGCTTGGCAATATTCCGCCCTCAGTATATGATAGGTTCTGGAAACAATAAAGATTGTGAAGAATGGTTCTTTGACCGTATGAACGCTACTTCCTTATGTTTATAACTCTTCCATCTATTCTTAGTAGGATCCTATTGGCTTTCCATGCACAACATTTTCTAGTTGCAATGCAGCATGCATGAATACATCTGGATCTTTTTACAGGCTACTAAGAAATAAAGGAGCTGAAAGTTACATGTACATCCATATATTAAAAAATCGACACTTGCATTATATGTTTCTTTTATGGCTAATCTTCTTGCATGCATCGCCAAATGTCTGGAACCAGAAATTTTTTCTCTGGACTCTGGTGATAAATTCGGTACCCTGTTTTGTTGGTGCCTAAAGCATTAGAAACTGAAGCATTATGAAATCAGTAATTTGGGTCAAAGATTTATCTAGGAATTAGGAGCTACCAATGCTTTTGGTCCCACTTCTAAGGACAATTTATTTGTAGATAAGTATCTGATGAAGAACCGATTCATACTGGAGCTTATATAAGTAGTTATAGAAGCAACGTATATAAGCTGCTGAAAATAGTCGTTTGGTAATAATATATTAAAAACTGTTTCCAAAAACAGTTAAGGTGTTTGGCAAAACTGTGCTTAAAGATCATTGTCAAAAGATAAAGGTCATATACGGTATATAAAAAAAAGGCAGAATCTACTTTTAAAAGCATCCTGAGGTAATATGGAGTCATGAAGCAATTTCAATAAGTGTGCAAAGTAAATAAATAGATAAAAATAAAAAAGTCTGCTTATCAAAAAAATAATTAGAAGCACCCGAAAAGACAAAAACAATACCAAACTGACTCGTAGAAGGTGAGGGCTAATGTATTAGTACGTGGACACCTTTTCTACATTAAGTAAGGGCTGATAAACCTGAATATTTCTTAGCAGATGAGTTCATGACTTGATATCGCCACTAACTAGCAACAAGATAGCAGCTCAAGAACATTTGATTGACTCAAGAAAGTTGAAACAAGAAGGAAAATAGATTTGATTCTTCACGGTAGATTGACATCAAAAATTTGTGGAAACTTAACATTAATTGTTCTTATTGTCACCGACTCATGGTTTTGATTTGTTAGGAGACTGACCCATTTTCTTCCAGCGATATTTCTCATAATGTATTGGTAGTTTCCTATTTGGAAACCACGTCATTATACTGGAAACAAAGACTCATTATACTGAAAACAAAGAGTTTAGTTACATTCGACGAGTTGATACAGATGTGCATGTCATTTGATTGTTGGTGAATATTCCCATGTCACATGTATTTTGAAATATTTTGCTTTTAATACTCCAGAAATGTTCCAAGAAACTTACAGCAATCCATTAATGAATGATATATGTTGGTGGTCATGGACAGGGATTGTCCGTGATAGACCAGTTCCACTCCCTGGATCAGGAATGCAGCTGACGAACATATCACATGTGAGAGATCTATCGAGCATGCTATTTCTTGCTGTTGGGAAACCTTCTGCTGCAAATGGCAACATATTCAATTGTGTGAGCGACCGTGCTGTGACCTTAGATGGAATGACCAAACTATGTGCACAAGCTGCAGGCAAAGAAGCCAAAATAGTTCACTATGACCCAAAGGTTGTTGGTGTTGATGCTAAGAAGGCTTTTCCTTTCCGCAATATGGTAATAATCCAATATCAATTTATTGAGGCTTATTTGCACTTTAATACCCCAAAAGTTCACCTTTTAACTTTGATACCATGAGTTCTGTTTTGACAAATTGATACACCAAACTTTTCAAACGGACAATAATTTGACAATTGGATACCCCAAGGCCCTAATTGTGTTCCTCGCTTCCCCCAAACTATTAAAAAAAAAGAACATTTGTGAGAAAATTTGTTTCTCATCAAATATCGTATGTTGATGTTCTTGATCGAAATTAAGGTCAACTATAAAATTCTCTATAAGTTATAGGGTATCAATGCTAAAGAAGAGTGAAACTTTGGGATGGTAAAGTGCAAATAACCCATTTATTAATTGAACATTGACATAAGATTTAAAATTTTGTACTATTGTTGCAGCACTTTTATGCAGAGCCAAGAGCTGCTAAAAAGATATTAGGATGGACAAGCAGCACTAATCTTGTTGAGGATTTGAAAGAGAGGTTCAAAGAGTATGTCAGTATCGGGAGAGATAGGAAGGAGATGAAATTTGATATTGACGACAAGATATTGGAGTCTCTAAAAGTTCCAGTTTCTGTATGATTCTCATGATCACTCGTTTCATTTTCTCCATATCAATGCATCATGTGCAAATTGATGTAATTGCACTACATTTGTTAACAAATATTGTTGTGTCAATATTTTTTCCCTATAAAGTCAGGACCAGACACAATTACGCATTTTTTGTATCTACTTTGTGTCATACAATGACCGATATAATGCCAAGCTGTTTATTATAGAACTTGTTTGTTTACTTCGCTTAGTATGCGTTTGATGAATCATGAACATAATTGCCATGCCACTGAACCCTGTATAGGAGCATTTATTCAGAAAGGGTGAGAAAAAAATATTTTTCCCTCTTAGGGGCGTGTGCCAAATTCCTAGTTCGGTATATAGTATGATTTTCCCTTTGTTTCATTTATTTTTTCAGATGCTGTCTGGATTGCTGAGAGAAAATAATAAAATAAAAGGATAGCAAATATTGCAGCTGCAGAAAATCTACTTAAAATCCCATTATTTAGATATCTGCAATTTTGTTGTGAAAAATGAATTTTCAATACAAATTCCATGTTTGGTAGAAGAACAACTTGATGTACAGTTACAAGATTTGTAAGTCAATATTTTGTTGAACATTTCATGAATTGCAATAAATACGCATAGTCATGTCCTTCCCTCGTGCTATACTTTCCATGACGAAGTTCATATTTGTAGCTTTTATTTTTATGCAAAAAACTTTTGGGAAAATTGCTTCCAGCCCGCAAAACAACCCAAAACGTGCTCTGCCCCCCTAAGATTTTTTCAACGTGCCCTTTACCCCCAAAACCGCCCCCGATTTTCTTCCAGCCCCCAAAACGAATCCCCCGGCCTAACTCCGTTTAAACTCCGCTCGAAATGCCCAAAATACCCTTACGTTTAAAATTCCCCGTTATGAGTTACCTCCTCGTCCGTACCCTGTCATCTCTCTCTTCTGCAAGCAAACCGACTCCAGAAACCCAATTCAAAACCCTAGCCCTAAATCAACCGACCCCAACGCAAACCGAATCAAAGCAAAGGGATCAAAATGGCCGGCGATTCAACCCCCAAAACCAACCTCAATGGCGACCACAGCGAAAGCGATTACGTCCAGCGGTTCGAAATCTCAGAAAGAGCCCATACAACTGCAGTGCGGACTGAATCTGAAGCTCAAGCTGCGATTGGTGATGTTCTAGAGGACATCGCAACCAGACATTCTCATCCCAGAAGCCCGCCTCAAAATTTAAGTGTAGGCCCCCGCGAAGGTCTAGAGGGCAGCACCGGCACCACCGGCTCGTCCAACGATGCCACTAGAGCGCTCCTTGGTCTACAGAGAGGAGAAAAAGAAAAGCATGTGGCAGCACCCAAAAGGTAATTTTTACCGCAAGTTTTATGTTGTTAAGGTTATGGTTTGATTGATAATGCTCTTAGTCTGGTGGGAAGGTCCAAAATTACGGTGTCTGTTAGCTGTTGAGGTTACTGTTAACATGCAAGGTCTATGGTTTTATTGTTGAGGTTGTGTTTGGTTGTTGAGGTTAGGCTTTGGTTGTTAAGGTTAGGTTTTGGTTGATAAGGTTGTGGTGTTGTTGTTAAGGTTGTTGGTTGATAAGGTTATGCCTTTATTGTTGAGGTTGTTGTTTAGTTGTTGAGGTTAGGCTTTTGTTGTTAAGGTTAGGTTTTCGTTGTTAAGGTTATGGGGTTGTTGTTAAGGTTGTTGGTTTACCCGCAAAGTTTACAGCATAGTTGTTATGTTGACTGATTATACTCAAAAATGCTCTCGTCTTGTGTTTTTGTTTTGTAGAAAAAGGGAAAAGTCAGCTATTACGTTGCGGCTCACCGCCAGCTTCGGTGCCTATCACGACTTTATGTAGAAATTGGTGACGCATATGGGGGCCAAGGCATTTTGCGGCCTACGAAGATAGTGTATTCAGACACTACGTCCAATTTGGCCCACCTGGTGTCGATCTTTCCACCTTTGAGCACATTTTGAGTCAGTGGGACAAGAAGAGCAAAAAATTCGTCTTCACCGATAGGAATGATGGAGAATAGATCGCATGCTCATTCAACCTTGAGTGGGTAATGGAGCATACATGGTTCTCCAATGAGGGGCTTCATGTTGACCACAATCGGGATAGGAAAAATAGGATTTGGTCTAGGTTTTTTGACAAACCCGAGGCGGGGGGTTCCAGCAATATAGCTCCCCCCAAAGGAGGCCCCACCAGACGCAATGTGGAGGACCTGCTCTTGAAGCTGGTACTATTTCTGATAGCCGAGATGTGAAGGACTTTGTCCTGCTACAGATCCTCTATCAGTTGAGCATGATTTGGTGTCCAAGCAGTGTTTCCGGCGTTCCTAGGCATTTATTCAAGTACGTCGACAGCACCGAACAGGTCAATAACACTGCTTGGGGGACCTATATATTCAGTGAGACATCTGACGCGATAGAGAGGGCACTGAAGGGTCCTGAGCCAGGGAAGACGACATTATATCTGCAAGGGTGTACCCCTCTAGTTTGTGTAAGTAATCATGTTTTTTACTGATTGTGAAGGTTAGGGTTTAGTTGTTAATGTTACAGTTTCGTTGTCAAGGTTACGGTTTGGTTGTTAATATTACGGTATGGTTGTTAAGGCTACGTTTTTATTGTTAGGGTTACTTATTAATTGTTACGGATGAAGGTGTTTGTTAAGTTTTTATTTCTCTAATGTGCAGTTGTGGTATTATGAACTCACCGGCATCAAGAAGCCAGCACTTGGTTGTACGGTGAGGCCTCCCCTGACAAATTGGGTGAGACTTGGGCACGTTGCTGGTTCTTTGAGATTAGCCACTGTTGTTGCGAAAGCAAGCAAAGCTACGATAAAGCTTCCACAGCAACATGGACAACTTCAAAGAATCGAGGGAGGTTTTTGGGGGAAGGAGCAGGGGATAGAGAAAGAGAAGAGGAGAGAGAGAGAGAGAGAAGAGGAGGATTAAGGGTTCGGCTGTAGTAGACGCCGGCAGGGCTCGTGGCCCAAGAGACCTTATTCACAAGAAGAAGAGGAGAGAAGAAGATGACGACATCCCAATTGATGCACTTGTAAGAACTTAGCAATCGTGGATTTTATTTGTTTTTGAATTAATTAATCCTTTTAATAGTACTCTACCTGTCCGTTGCATATGTGATGCCACAGGATATTGATGAAGACGCCGAGCAGCCAAATGATGCAGTTGAGCAAATGGATTGGCCTCAGCAAGTTATCTACTGGAAGAGCATCGCGGCAATGAACGAATCATTACGCCGCGAGAACGAGAATAAATTCAAGGGTATGATTGCTGCAGACCGTGTAAAGATAAGTGCTCTTTCTGTGAAGGTGGCTAAGCTGTCTGCTCAAAATAGAAGACTGAGAGAGGAACTAAGCGAAGCACGATCCGGAACCCTCTCTGTATACAAGGATAAGAGCCCTACAGGATTGATGTCCAGCTCATTGATGGAGCCGCAAACTTGTACATGTTAGATGCGGCTTGCAATTACGTTTGTGTGTTATGTTTAAAGATTGATTGATAAGTATATGGATTTATTGTTAAGGTTAAAAATATATTGTTAACTTTACGGATCTAATGTTAAGGTTAGGGATTTATTGTTAAGGTTAAGAATGTATTGTTAACTTTACGGATCTAATGTTAAGGTCAGGGATTTATTGCCAAGGTTGGAGATTGATTGTTAAGTATCTTGGTTAGTTTTAAGGTTATGTAACTGATGCTATGTTTTTTTTGACAATGAAGTACCTAAGCTCATTTGTGTTTATTTTTTGAATCAGACACTCCAGGCACCGTGGGTGGCATTGATGTACAGTACGATGGGGATGTCAATAAATCATTATTATTTGATGAAGCTAATAAGGAGAGCGAGGCCCCTCCAACAGGGAGGGCCTCTCCACAACCATTGTTTTCTGATATCCACAAGGAGAGTGAAGATGCTCCGCCAGGAGAATTACCTCCACTAGAGGTATCTGCTGTTGACAAGGCTCTTGAGGCAGAAATAAACGAGGGAGAGAAGGTGTCCCCCCAGCGAATGAGCTACTAACTTGTACATGTTAGCTTGCTTTTGTACTATATGTTAGAGATTGGTTGTTATGTCTATGTATTGGTTGTTAAGCTTTTTATTGTTTATACTCTGAATATTATCAGAAACAGGCACTCAACGCGAGGGCACTGGAAGGGAAATAACGCCGGCGGTTGAAGTCCCTTCTGCAGGTGATGGGGAGACGCAAACTTGTATAGGTTAGCAACTTTTTCACCATGTGTTTAGGCATCAGTTGTTAGGTTTACTATGAAATTGTTAAGTTTAGATAGAAGGGGCTATGTTTTCTTAATATTTATACTTCGAATGGGTTGTTTGGAATCAGACACTCTGCGGGAGGACACTGGGATGGAAATAAAGCAATCAGAGAATGCCCCTCCACCAGCAATAGAGACATCAACTGATGACGAAGATGCTCCTATTGTGTTTTCAAGAGCTTTGAATAAGAGAAAGAGGGGTGCAACGAGGGCACGCGGGAAGGTGGCCGCTGCTGCACCCCCTAAACGGAAGAGATGCAAAAGATCGGTGAAGCCTTCCAAGTGGGTAGTCACCCCTTACACTGAAGGGAAGAAGAAGAAAGAAAAAGACAACATAGGGGACAAGGCTATAATAGAAGTGGCTGGGGAGGAGGAAGCGCAGGTGCAGGAAAACAATGCAGAGTTGGCTCCTGCTCGGCTACAAAGTGACCCCCACTCTATCTGGGAAAAACACATGAGTTCCCCTATGAGTTCAGAAGAAGAAATGTACAGGAATAAGCTGAACGAGGGGATTCCCTTTCCAGCAGGCTTCGTCATCAAGTTTTTGGGCGACAAAGACACATTTGTACATAACTATAAGGTGTCAGCAGATGTTGTCGCGCTATTGACGGAAGAGGAGCAAAAAGCTCTTAACCATTTTTGCATTTGTAGATGTAACAAGTAAGTATTTACCTCACATCTCAAGTATATGTTTGTTGTTTAGTTTACGGGTTTGTTGTTATGGTTACCGGTTTTTTTGTTATGGTTATTGATTTGTTGTTTAGGTTAAGGGTTTTTTGTTATAGTTATTGATTTGTTGTTAAGGTTACGTGGTAGTTGTTAAGGATACGTGTTTGATGTTAAGGTTACTGGTTTTCTTGTTATGGTTACGGGTTTTTTTGTTATGGTTATTGATTTGTTGTTTAGGTTATGGGT